TTACAGTGCTGTACCACCACATCTGGCCTAAAAACCCAATCTCTTAAACTGGACAAACATGCTGGCACATGCCTGTTCTCTAGCACTTGAGAGGTTAAAGCAGGGAGGACCCTTTCAGGTTCAAGGCTAGCCTGGGTTACAGTGAAACTGTCTCACAAACCAAAACCAACAAAAAAAATGGAACCTTTTTTTTCTGAATCTAAAGTAATCATTTTATGGTTATTCATCACTTGAATTTGAAAACAATGTTTTAGCCAGGCATGGTGATACACATCTATAATCCTAGTATACCAGGAGCTAAGGCCTATCTAGGTTCCATAGCAAGAGGGAGGGAGGGGAAGAGTCATAGCAGTAAGAACCCACTGAGGAGTCCTTCACCCCCCAGGCTAGCTTTGTGCCTTTGCGACTGGAGCCCAGCAGGAGCTATGGAGTAGTGTGTGTGTGTATTGACTACTAAATAAAAACTAGGGCCAAAGAGATGGCTACTGGATATGAGTACATATTGCTCTTGGCAGAGGACCCAAGTTCAGTTCCCAGCACCCACATAGGGCAGCTCATAACCGCGTGTAACTCCAGTTCCAAGGGAAATCTAATACCTCCAGCCTCTGTGGGCACCTGTACTGATGTGCATATATCCACACACATATACCTAATTAAGTAGAAACCAAGTGAAATTCTGAATTTATTTGTGTGATACAAGGTCTCTGTAGTCCAGGCATCTGGAATTCAAGGGGATCCTTGCCAAGTACCAGGATTACAGAGGTCAGCAACCATGCTTTTTTCTTTATGAGGCAGAGGCTGCACCCTCACCAGTGGCCTCTTCTGGCCTCTCCGGGTACAAAGCCTCAGATTCTCTCCATGACCCCTTCAATCCTGGGGTCTTCACTGCAACTGAAGCTGCACTTTCACCTACGGCCTTTCCTGGCCTCTCAGAGTGCCAGCGTCAGCTGCTTTCTGTGACTCCTTCACACTTTCAACACGAGAACCATGCAGGAGACTCTTACACATTACCAAGTCCTGCTTCCAGCTAGAGACAGAGGTTCAGGTCCCCTCTGTGTGCGGCCCCTGAGGAAATACCTCCCAGAAGACTCCACCACAGTGATGCTGGTCTCTTGTTACTTACAGCTGTTTTTTCAGCCCCAGCTAACCAGCATCAATTGTCCCAGTAAAGCAAAGATTTTACTTCAGGTTCTGGTCTCTTCTTAATCACAGCTGATTCTTCAGCCCCAGCTGACCAGAACCCACAGATTCTCAATTCCAAATATCACACAAACAGCCCCAATAGTCTCTGCTTCCCTTTGAAGCTTCACTAGCCAGGCCTCCATTGTTCACAAATCTTTCAACATAACTGTTCCAAGCTCTACAACAAACTGAGCACTCAAAGTTCAGAACGCTTCCACAATCCTCCTAAAAATACCAAGGTCAGGTCTGTCACAGCAATACCCCACTCTCTGCCCAGACTGGACTCCAACTCTGGAGCTCAAGTGATATTCCTGCCTTGCCAGTCTCCCCTGCAGTCCTTTAATGTAGTGCCAGGAGTGGTGGCACATGCTTTTAATACCAGCACTTTGGAGGCAGAGGCAGGCAGCTATCTGTGAGATCAAGGCCAGCCTGATCTACATAGCAAGTTCCAGGCTAGCTAGAGCTACAGAGAGACCCTGTCTCAAAAAGACCAAATAAATAAATATCCTTTAATGTGAACAGAACATACAGTTTGAACATGTAATGACACACAACACCAAAAGACACCAGAAAATAAATTCCTTTTCATCCACCTTGTCCATAATTCAAACCATTGAGAGGCAACAGTTAGTTGTTTATTAACCATTCACAGATATCCTAGCATCTTAATCTTTGTGTGTGTATGCACTCACATTTGAATGTGTGTTCATGTGTGTGAATGAGAGCACACACGTTATGACATGTAGAGATCAGAGGTTGCCCTCTGGTGTTGGACCACACCTGCCACCCTATTTGAGACAGGGTCTCTCCGATGGCCGCTGTGTACACCAGGCTAGCTGTCCAGTGAGCTTCCCAGGATTCTCCCAGTGGCAATGCTGGGATTATACACAAATGTTACTACATCCAGCTTTACGTGGGCTCTGGGGACCCAAACTCAGGTCCTCACATTTGCACAGCAAGCATTTTATCCACTGAGCCATCTATACATCCTAGCATCTTTATTATGGGGCACAAGCTACACTTGCTGGAACATACATACTTCCTAATTCCAGTACTCAGAAAGTAGAGCCAGATTGGTTGGTTGAGGCCAGCCTGGGTTAGGGTGAGACCCTATCTCAAAAACAAAACAAAAGCTGGACATGGCGGCACATGCCTGGAATCCTGGCACTCAAGAGGCAGAGGCAGGAGAGCTGCTCAGAGTTCGATCATAACCTGGTTTACAGAGTAAATTCAGGATAGCCAGGGTTTCACAGTGGAACTGTCTAAAAAATCAAACCAAAACAAAAACACTTATCAATAAAACACGAAACCTATATAAGATATTGCATTGATTGCTTTTTTAGAGACTAAAAAATTTTATTTACTTTTGAGACAGGGTCTCACTGTGTATCCCTGGCTTGCCTGGAATTTATGACATAAGAGTAAATCAGGCTGGCCTCAAATTCAGAAATCCACCTGCCTCTGCCTCCTGAGTGCTGGGATTACAGGTGTCACCACACCAAATTTATTTTAAAATTTTTAATGTGTATATGTGTGTGACTGTGTGTGAACACAGGCTCCCACAGAAGCCAGAAAGCCAGAGTAGGAGCCTCCAGATGCTAGAGTTACAAGCTGTTGTGAGCCACAGGATTTGGATGCTGGGACTTGAACTCAGGTCCTCTGAAAGAACAGTACATGTTCAATCTCTCCAGTCCTGTAGTGATTTTTTATTTTATGTTAACTAAATAAAATGCATTATGCTAAGCCCTGTACTGAATTCACAGATAACACCCTAAAGCTCCAATGGTGTGTGTGTGTGTGTGTGTGTGTGTGTGTGTGTGTGTGTGTGTGTGGTTTAGAGGGCATGGGGCAGAGCAACACATACCAAAGGACCATAATTAGTAAAATTACAAGGTAAAATGAAGTGTGGAGCGTGTTGAAGCAGTGACAGTGGCACACAGTGGTCTGAACTTGTTCTCTGGCATCAGAAGCAGTTAGCGTATAGCTCCAGTTCTGCTACTTGTTCTCAGTGTGACCCCATGTAAGTGACTGAACTTCTGTATACCTGTTTTTCCATTTGTCAGAACAGATTAATAATAGACCTTACATCATTGAATTGGTGAAAGGAATAAATAAGACAAAGCAGATAGGGGCTGGAGAAATGCCCCAGCAGTTAAGAGCACTGGTTGCTCTTGCAGAGGACTTAGGTTCAGTTCCCAGCACCCACGGTGTTTAACAACTCCAAGGCATCCACTGCCCTCTTCTGTCCTCTGCAGGCATTGAACACACAGTGCACTTACATACATGCAAGTAAAACTCATACAACATAGACAAAGCAGATTAAAAAGTGCCTGATATTAAGCACTCAATTAATGGCAGGTAAAAAAAATAAGATGTTGGTTATTATCATTCAAATCCATAGTCCATTAGAGAAAAATCACAAAATTCTAAAACTCAGGCTTTTCATTTGTTTTTGTTTTTTTGAGACAGGGTGTCCCTTTGTAGCAGAGGCTGGCCTTGAACTCACTTTGTGCACCCAACTATCCTGGAACTCATGATCCTCTTGCCTCAGCTTCCCCAGTGCTGTAATTACTGATGTATCACCACACGAGCCAGATTTATTGGGGGAAAAATGAGGGTGGGGGAAATGTAATCCAAAGTGAAGTCATTTGTTTTAGCATGAATATTCACAAATGTACTGAAGTTAGTATGAATAGTCAGTTGGGTGTGGGGGTATATGCAGGTTATCTCAGGACTGGAGAAGCTGGGGTAAGCAGCTCTAAAGTTGGAGGTCAGCATGGCCTATGTATGGAGACCCTGTCTCAAAAAAAAAAAAAAAGTCTGGTCTAATGGTGCATGACTTTAATCCCAGCACTCAGGAGGCAGAGACAGGCAGATCTCTGTGAATTCAAGGCCAGCCTGGTCTGCATGGCAGGTTTTATTACTATGTCTCCAAATAAATAAAATAAAATTCATACATTCTGCTGTAGAAATATCAATGTTTGTTATGAGTGCTGCCTCAGTCCAGTTGGGTGTCATCTAAATACTAAATCATGTACCACCACTAGCTTCCAGGCAAAACTCTCTCTCTCTCTCTCTACACACACACACACACATACATACACACACACACACACACACTCTTCTTGTTAGGAAAAGGGTTTTGTTTTGAAGGCCTTTTTTTCTTAGGCATAGAATTTTTTTTTTTTAAATCACAGATCTCAAGAAAGCCTTAAGAAATTCGGAGTTTCATTCCCTTAATTCCTGTATATTCAAGGATTAGCAGGAAGAAAGGGTACTGAGCTTGAAGTCAAACTTGATTTTGCTTCCCTCTTCCGTCTATTTCTGTTTCATTATGTCCAGGGCAAGGCCCAGCAACAGCACCTGGCCTTTGGCAGGCCTTCATAAATAAACGCTGAATAAACTGAGATGAGGTGGGTTTCTTCCTTGGGTTCTGATTCCTCTCCCTCTTGGTATAGCCGGGGGCAGGGGGCAACAGCAGTCTGTCCTGGGTGGACAGGCGCAAGCAGGCCCGAAGCTCGTCCTACCCCTCTCTGGACTCCAGCCTGCCCCAGGAGCTCATCTGGGGTTCCTCTCCTCCAATGGGCTCTCCAACGACCTTCTCTGAACTCTCTCCCCCAACAGCAACACTTGAGCGTGAAGCCTTCTAGCGCAACGCAGAACCCGCGGGGGCCCAGCAGCCTCAGGGGCCGCTAGCTCCCCCTCCCCACCCCGGAGGACCGCGGGTGGACGCTCTGGCAGTAGGCCTCTCGCTGGTCGGGGAGGAGGTGGGCGGAGCCAGCGCCGGCCGGGTTCTGGAAGCAGAGGGTGGGGACACTCTGGCCCGGCTCTCGGTGGTGCTGGAGCAGCGGCCGCTCTGGTCGGCGGACGTGCTGCTGAGCAGTCCCGGAAGCGAAGCAGCGATGGCGGAGAGTCCGACTGAGGAGGCGGCGACGGCAACGGCGGGCGCCGGGGCGGCAGGCCCGGGGGCTAGTGGTGTTGCCGGCGTGGTCGGCGTTAGCGGGAGCGGCGGCGGCTTCGGGCCGCCTTTCCTGCCGGATGTGTGGGCGGCTGCGGCGGCGGCGGGCGGGGCCGGGGGACCGGGGAGCGGCCTGGCTCCACTGCCGGGGCTCCCGCCGTCGGCCGCTGCCCACGGGGCCGCGCTCCTTAGCCACTGGGACCCCACGCTCAGCTCTGACTGGGACGGCGAGCGAACCGCGCCGCAGTGTCTACTCCGGATCAAGCGGTGAGCCGGGGTTTTTCCTCCCTTGCCTCAGCCGCGAGCTCCGGGGCTCGACCTTCCCCGCCCCCCACCCTCCCCCACAGTAGCTCAC